TTTTTTTTCTTTTTTTTTGGTGGTGCCCCTTTTTCGCACTCTTCTTTTATAAGGTTAGTTTTATATATATATATATGTGTAAGTATATATAGTCTTAAAAAAATGTGTAAATCAAGATAACTTGAAAAAAATATTTTCAACTCTAAGTTAAGCATGCAAAAATTTCATTATTTTTAATTAAAAATCTAAGGTAAGACTTAAGTAAAGTATACTAGTTGAAAAAATCATTTCTTAGGAATTTTGTTTGGAGTTATCATAAAAGGTGAACTTGAATATGTCACTAACGATGAATTAGAAAATTTAAAATCTACCAATTTGATCAATTATTACTTAAGTCTATTAATTTGGCAAGTGACAATATTTTTATAAATTTTTTTAACAAAAAGAAAGAAAAATATAACTAAAAAGGTAAAATAAAGAGGAAAATATGTATTTCTCACCCCCACACCTAAATTTTGCATTGTCCTCAATGCAAATTCGCTGAAGCACAAAGTAAAGCAGATAAAATTAAAGAACTTACAGTTGTTCGGTTGACAATGATGATAAGGATCTGTAATTACTGTTAGTATGAGGATGAAGAAATCAAATAAGAGAAAAATTATAAGTAATTATTTTTATTTTTTATTATTTTTTTTAACCTATGTTACTTATTCAAATTTTTGTTATGTTTTTTTTAAGAAACAATTTTTTTTTAAGAAACAAAAGGAAAATTAGTTTTTTTATAGATAATGAGGTTCATGAAGAACCAATACCTCTTCCTCTCCGAGCGTAGAAAATTCTAAAAATGGTTTTAGACGTTGACCATTTATTTTAAAAATGTTACCATTTTTAGGATTTTCTATCTCGACAGCTCCGTGTGAAAAAACTTGTTTGACAAAAAATGGACCTGTCCATCTTGATCTTAATTTTCCAGGAAAAAGATGCAATTTTGAATTGTACAATAAAACTTTTTGTCCTTGAGAGAATTTTTTTCGCAAAATTGATTTGTCATGAAAAATCTTTGTTTTTTCTTTGTAAATTTTTGAGTTTATGTATGCATCATTTCTAATTTCTTCCAACTCATTTATTTGGAGCAATCTGTTTTTACCTTCCGAGTCTGAGTCAAAATTCAACTGTTTTATTGCCCACATTGCTCGATGTTCCAACTCTACTGGTAGGTGGCAAGCTTTCCCAAACACTAATCTGTATGGTGACATCCTCAAATTGGCCTTAAAAGCTGTTCTATATGCCCATAGAGCATCACACAATTTTATAGACCAATCTTTTCTGTTATGATTAACAGTTTTTTCTAAGATTTGTTTGATCTGCCTGTTTTTGACCTCTACTTGTCTACTGGTTTGGGGGTGATAAGGAGTTGACAATTTATGTGTGATTGAATATTTCCTCATCAAAGCCTCGAAAGAACCGTTACAGAAATATGTACCGTTATCACTAATGATCGCTCGAGGTACTCCAAACCGGGCAAAAATGTTCTCTTTCAAAAACTTGACAACGACCTTGTTGTCATTAGTTTTGCAAGCTACCGCCTCAACCTATTTTGACATGTATTCAACGGCTACTAGAATGTAGACATTTCCAAAGGAATTTGGAAATGGTCCCATGAAATCGATACCCCACAGATCAAAAAGTTCAACAGATAAGATAGGTTGTAGGGGCATCATATTTCTTCTAGTGACCTTCCCTAAAAGCTGACAGCGGTTACAGGTTTTGCAAAATTCGAATGAATCCTTAAACAGAGTGGGCCAATACAGCCCAGATTGGAGAACTTTTTCAGCAGTTTTTCTCGGGCCAAAGTGACCCCCACAGGCTTGCTCGTGACAAAATGATAGAACACTCCTAGTTTCTTCTGTGGGAACACACCTCCTAAAGATCTGATCAGGACAGTATTTGAATAGATATGGATCATCCCAGTAAAAGTATTTTACTTGGGAGAGAAAACAGGATCTATCATGTTTGGACCAATGAGAAGGGATCTGGTTCATGACTATGTAATTCACAATGTCAGCGAACCAGGGAACAGATTGGATTTCTAGGAGTTGCTCATCTGGAAAATGTTCGTTGATTGGGACGGTTGATGTTGGTGCATTTGGGAGTCGAGAGAGGTGATCTGCTACGGGGTTCTCTATTCCCCTTATGTTAAGAATTTGAATGTCAAACTCTTGAAGAATGAGAATCCATCTAATGAGCCGTGCTTTAGCATCCTTTTTGGTCAAAAGATACTTTAGTGCGGCATGATCAGTGAAAATTTTGGTTAAGGAACCGATGAGGTAGGACCTGAATTTTTCTAAGGCAAAGACTACAGCTAAAAACTCTTTCTCTGTGACAGAGTAGTTTTGCTGGGCATCATTCAGAGTCCTACTGGCGTAGTAGATCACATGCGGTTTTCCATCAAACCGTTGTCCTAAAACAGCACCGATTGCAGAATCAGATGCATCACACATCAGTTCAAAGGGTAAGGTCCAGTCCGGTGCATGAATGATAGGAGCTGTGGTTAGCTCCTTTTTCAGATATTCAAAAGCTTTGAGGCAGTCGGGAGAGAAGACAAATGATGTATTGTCATTGATCTTCTTACTGATGTCTTTATGCAAGTCATGAATGCGAGATGCAAATGCAGATGCTGACTCAGATACTCTATGATGTGCAGACACGGGGACAAGATCTATAGGCTGTCTAGGTTTGTAACCATACACGACTTCAGCTGGACTGACACCTGTAGACCTATTAACAGAGTTATTATAAGCAAATTCAGCAGTAAGCAAATATTGATCCCAACTCCTAAGATTCTCACCAACTAGCGATCTCAAAAGGTTACCTAAGCTCCGATTGA